ATTGTTACATACTGTAACATAAAGTAAATCACATCAACCTTGCAGTGGTCTGAACTATGCTTTCTGTAGAAGAACCTTTTTTAAAACAAGCTGTGTCTGACAGATCCAGCAGCGTTAACATCAGTATGGGTGAATAAGTTTGACCAAGCTTGCACCCACTGTGCACTGTGTTTTACTGAATAATATGCAGACTTCTACACCGCTCCTCTTCTAAAATATGCAGAAACCCTTTAACAAAGAAAAAATGCATGTACGTTTAATGTATGCACTTTTTTACAACGCTTTAAAGCCTGCATTGCTACCATTCATGTTAACTTGCCAGCAGTCTTCTTCTGCTTCACATTCGCTGCAGCGTTGCTGTGTTTCTTTGCATATTATCACTACTTTTAGGTCAGTGGATTTTTTTTTTTATTTGTAATGTCTGTTATTATATAGTTTTAGTAGTATCTGAGGCAAAGTCTGTTTGGTTTCATCTCCCTGCCATCCATGGCTTTGTGACATGTCATACCCCATCATTCTCCTCTCATTCTCATTTCCGGTCTGTGTATATATCTAACACAACTTGCAGTCTGTTTACCATATGATGAGAATGTCCCCTAGTCTACTGACACACTGGAGATCACTGAAAAGCCATATGGGAGGAGAAATTCTTTTGCCATGACAACATGGAGATTAAGTTTGTCCATAAGTGACCAGAACTTTGCATTTACATAATAGGTAAAGAGCAACCTACAGATACCACCATGCATGATTTATTAATAACTAGAATATCTCCAGATAAAATCTAGAAAAACATTGCCCATGTTTCCACCACTGAAGACTGAAACCAAACAATAAAAGAGTCTAAGAATAAGAAGAAAACCAGATGCAGACGGCCCATCTGGTACCAGGGTTGGAGTATGTTGTAGCAAAATTTATCATTACCTTGGTCTCACTATTGCCATAGCATATTTCTGACTGCACATTATCTACATTGCTCGGCTAATGAGTTCCTGCTATCTTCATGAAAAGGTGAAACAATAATGCACCTTTTTTTTTTTTTACAGCTCATCCAGATTTCCACAACAGTAGGTACAGTAGGCTTAAAAGGAAGAGGCTGGCACCACCCCCTGGGAGGGGTTAGCCAGCTGCCTGGCAGCCCTCGGCCAGTATTAAATGCTCCCACATGCTTGACTGTAGCTTGATCAAGAAATGAAGATAGAAAAAAGAGCCAGAAACACACATATACAAGGAGTGTTTCTGTGTCTGGGCCAGTCCATTAAGCATTTACACTTACTATCAGTGAGTGAGGCACTGAGTGCTGCCTGCACTCTTATATGAATGATGCATTTTCCTCAGGGCGCAAAAACGTGCAGCTAAAACACGGCATCACACACACACAC